GCATGATGATGGAGGAGAGTCCTAGAGACCACTCCTCTGGTGCGGTGCCCAAGGTGACCAAGGGTAAGAATATCACCGGTGATTTCCTGATGAGAGAGAAGACATCAGTGAGTTTCTCCAGGGTGAGTCGATCGACGAGGTGGCGGGGACACATGCTCGACGCGATCCCCCAATTGCTTGGCATGGCAGCAGCATAAGGAGTTTGAGGCGAGATGACTCGCTACACTCCGAAAGGAAGATGAGTCTCCAACCGCAGGTCTCAGGAAGGTGGGTGCATAGCTGAGGTAGCTTGATGTAGCTATGGAAGCCAATGAGTAGTTCGCTAGTAAAGATAGCAAACAGCTCTTGGAGAGATTGAGAAATCTGTTGAGCTGTTTCTTCAAGCTGAGTTTGAGTAACGTAGCTCTAATGTAGTCCTACAAGGTGGAGCAGATGAAACCCCTACTCAGAACTAGACACCTTTTCTCGAAAAAAAAGTAGCTCACAGTGGGTACCAAACTGATGAAACCCCTACTCAGAACTAGACACCTTTTCTCGAAAAAAAAGTAGCTCACAGTGGGTACCAAACTGTTAATGTTAAATGATCACATAGTCAATAATATACGTAGTAGGATAGGGGTGAGGTTGATGAGGGGCTACATCCTTCCCTGAATATTCGGTTTTGAGTTGGGTTGCTAAAAATCCTGTACATGTGGAAATACGCGAGAGGACGAGGACTGGTTCCCTCATGGTTCCTCCGACGATCAAGTTAGCTAGTGAGCTTGAGTGGAAAAAATAAAGAACTGTGAGAGTTCTTGTGTGTGCAATATAATTAGCAAGATATTGCTTGGGAAAATACTTGTAAATGGCTTATAAGAGTGTTTTTTTAAAAAGGCCGATCCATCTCGGAAAATAGTACATGTATTTATAGTAGTATCGAAGGGGCATAACTGTCACTGTGGCCGAGCACAAGATAGTGGTGAAGAAATATGGGCTGACGGCTACGTCAGCACTTGCTTTACAGGTGTTGGCTGGCGACTGGAGGAGAGATCACGTTGGCATTAAATGGGAAGTGATCGGAAGCATGGCGGTACTGAAATAGTCCGATGAGTCATGAAGACTATCAAGGCTAGAGGTATGATGGTGCTTGCTAAGCCTTAAATGCGACGCTAACACGTTGTCAGTGGGAGAGGTTCGAGGCTTGTCCTCTAACTTCACCAAGAAGTAACACCTTTCGAGTCGTTATTGGTGATACATCGAATAGCTAGTTGAATGGACTCGCTATGAGTCGTCTTCTCCATAAGGGGCGACAAGTACCGCCTTTCGAGTCGACATGAGGGAATGTCAACTCGATAAGTTGGCTGTGTTGTCGTCCTTACTGGTCTTCATCCGCCAACTTGATTGGGGTATTGCATGTAGATGTACACATATCTGTTGCTAGCAAAGAGTTATACTTAGATGATTGGAAACACCGTAACAACTTTAAAAAAACACAGTAGACTTGAAATAGTTTCTCACTCACAAACGGATAATGATCAGGTAAGTAGATTAGTTCTCTATTAAATAACCTAGGACCCAATGCAACCTAACCCTAATAAAGTAATTAAAAAAGGATCCACGATATGCGGTTCAAAATGCTCCAAGTTATCAAATCTCAAAATAACATTTCTAAACGTATTGTCAATATGAGTACGGCTCTATTAAATATTCAACCAATTCTTATTGAATCGGCTCTAATAAATATTCAATCAATTTGATATTGTTTTTATCACATTTTAGGCTAAACTGTTGTTAGGGTCATGTTATGGACTAAACTGATAAATGAGTGTCACTTTTTAGGCTCCTGTAATATTTTAACCTATTTCCTTCTCCCATTAAAAAATTACAGTATTTGCTTTAAAAAAACATAGTAGACTGAAATAATTTCTCACTCACAAAAGGATATATGATTAGGGACGTTGATTAGTTCTCTATTAAATAATCTAGGACCCAACGCAACCTGACCCTAGGAAATTAATTAAAAAATGATCCACAATATACGGTTCATAATGCTCCAAGTTATCAAATCTCACTATAATATTTCTAATGTATAGTCATTGCGAGTACGGCTCTAATAAATATTCAACCAATTCTTGAATGGGATCCATATAGTTTTATTACAATATAGTTACAAGTATCAAACTTGTGCTCACATGAATTATTTTAATTTCTTTAATTTATATATGTTGATTTATATGTCCTTTAAATATGATAAGCTAAGTGGTAGGTTTTTTCTTAGATAAACTATAATCTTAAAATTTTATATTACAAACAAGATAGCTTAACCATTAATCCCCTATACAAATCTATAAAGAAAATTTACAATTTCTAAAAAAACAACTAGAATTTCAATATACTGAAAAGGCTCATATTTGGTTCACCTGGGATTGAGGCACGAATTGAAATTAGGACTTTTCTCTAATCCCCAAAATAGATAGTAAGCATCTCCATCATCCCCTACTATTCATAACCTAGCAGTTCACAAGATTATTATACCCACCCACCTCATGCATTATAAACACCATTGATATATTAAAATATTATAATATAATAAAATAAATTATAGGTGGCCATTTGTAATTTTAGGGTGTAGTTTAGTAAAGTTGTTGGGTTGTTTATAATTTTTCAAACTATCAAGGGGTTAGGTGTAAAGTTTTGAGAGGATTGTTTTGTTATTTGAAGGGTTCCTTATAATTTAAAAACATCAATGGGCTTTGTGTAAATTATTCAGAGGTGTTTGTAATTCACGAACTTTAAAGAGGTTGTTTGTAAAATTGTGAGCAATAAAATTTTCTGTAAAACGTTTGTTACTTTATCAACTTGCACGAGCTACTTGTAAAATTATTAAATAGCTATTTGTGAAACTTTTAAGAGGATACTTATATGTTTTAAAACTTTAAAGGGACTGGTTAAATTTTTGTAAGCGTTTGTTTGCAATAGTTTAGTGGCTGTCTATAATTATCAAACTTTATAGAAGACTATTTCTAATTTATGAATTTTCTAGGGATTGCTCATAATTTATAAATTTTAAAGGGGAAGTTTTATTATTTTATTAATTTTGTGTGCTATTCACAAGTCTCCTATTTCTCAGGATTTATTTATTATTTTTAATCTCTTGGGACTATTTGTAATTTTTTATATTTTTTGTGGTGTATTTATAAGTTAAAACTTTCAAGGGGTCATTTGTAAGCTTTTAGAAAGTTTTTATAATATTTTTAAACTCTCAGTGAGGTATTTGCCATTTTAACACTTTTCAGGAATCTAGTTGTAAAATTTTAAATGGGTGGTTTGTAGAATGTTTAGTATGATATTTATTATTTTTAAAACTTTCAAGAGGCTAGTTGTAAAACTCTTAAAGGATTGTTTATAAATTTTCAAAGGGTTACTTGTAATTTTTTAATTTATTATATGACTTTTTGTAGTTTTTAGATTTTCCAGGAATTATTAATAATTTATGGATTTGAAAAGGGGCAATTTATAATTTCTAAAATTTCATGGTCCTATTTGAAGTTTTAAAATTTTTTAGGGGTTTATTCGAAGTTTTTAAATCTTAAGTAGTTGTTAGGAAACTTCTGATATTGTAATGAGCCTATTTGAAATTTTAGAGTTATCAAGAGGTTGTTTCTAAAATTTGGATTTTAGAAACAAGTTTGAAATTTTAGAATTTTTAGGGGTTATTTGTAATTTTTAGATTTTTGAAGAGGTTCTTGAGAATTTACTAATCTAGAAAAAAAAATTTATATTAAGAACGTCTTTGGTTAATAGAATTTCAATTTAGGGATAGTTTTAACTTGACAATGATTCTTTAATAAAGATGATTACAAGAGAGGGTTTTGATTGTTAAAAGTTTTTGCTTATTGATTATTTTAATTTGATTAGTATTCTTAAGTGAAGATTGAATTAGGTGTTTACATGTCAATTTTTAATACGATAGATGAACACATGGTAGTTTTTTAACGCATGACATATTTTTGAGCCTTTGGATTAGTCTAAAAATATGCATGTGAAAGAGAGAGATGATTATGAGACTTTTTTTTTCGTTACGGGTAGTTATAATTGAATAATATTATCAAATATTTTACTATTAGAATTTTGTAATTCTTAATAGTTTTAATTTAATGAAGATTTTTAATTAGGTGAAAATCATATTTGATATCCAAGTGTCATCATCTGATAAAATAGAAGGGCTCGAGGTTTTTTTTCTATAGGTTGGACTGAATGCTATTATTTAATATGATACATGTCATGTACTTAGATGATACATGTCAATTTATTATTTCTTTAAGAAAGACGTCAATTTCTCATCACATATAAAGAAAGAGATATTGTCTTGTTAAGGCAATTAAGGCTCTAATAAACATTCAACCAATTCTTGTGGGTCCCCTCGGATTTAATATCATAGTTATACAACGTCCACTGGCTCGGGTATAAATGCAGTCTTTAGCTCACTCCCAAAATCACACCAAAGACAGAACAATTAAAAATCTAATAGAATGACTTGTGCAACAATATGGCATTCGACTCTTGTCCTTTTCTTGCTTATTGCAACGCTCTGTGCTGCGACTAATGATCATAAAGAAGTTGGTGATCTTGCAATAGCTAGAAAGCATGAGCAGTGGATGGCTGAGCATGGACGAATCTATGAGGATGAAGCTGAGAGAGCTCGACGACTTGAAATATTCAAGGACAATCTAAAATTTATAGAAGATTTTAATAATGCTAGAATGTACAACTATACTCTGGGCCTCAATGAGTTTGTCGATCTTACCACAGAAGAGTTTACAGCTATTTACAGCGGTGGATTAATGAAACCAGAAATAGATTTTATGGAGTCCCTTAGGTCCATCAAGTATGAGACTACTACGGAACAGCTCAATGTTTCAGATATCCCATCTAGTGTGGATTGGAGGACTAAGGGTGCCGTAAACCCTGTTATAAATCAAGGGAAATGTGGTAAGAAATTTTTATTCAAAGTTTTTATTAAGGGTGCCGTAAACCCTGTTATAAATCAAGGGAAATGTGGTAAGAAATTTTTATTCAAAGTTTTTATTTTGTTTCTATTTCAAGTTTTTATCTTGTTTTTAGAATAAACTACATAAAGCACCCCCCTTCTTCCACACCTATTCTTCTAGTCTTTTAAGAAACACCCTCCTCTAAAACTTAAGTTTTAAAAAAGCTATACGCGCAGTTTTGTGTTGGGTATTCAAGATCCTGAATTTCAATCTCTACAACCGACAGATCAAATAACAAGTTCGCAGGACATAAAAATAACAATTAAGAAGAAGAACATCGAGATTTATATGGTTCAGTTGACCAAGTTCGAACTATAACCATTGAGCAAGATGAGAAATGAATTACGACTAGGTATAATAGTACAAGAGAAATCCATCATATATCTATCTCTAAGCCTCACACACATGACCACTATCTCATGTTCTCTCCGAAAGAACAATCTCATCTCATGTTCTCTCACATGAGAGACTTATACAGTGCTTAACCCCTAGCACTAACTCGACCCAAAGGCCAATTTGGCTCTCTCAAAAGCCCACCAAATACTATACAATCGATAGGAGACACATTCCAACAATACGATACTTAATAAAACTATTAATTTTGTAATAGAGTTTAGTTATATTAATAAAACTATTAATTTTATAATAGAGTTTGGTTATATATATATATATATGGCCATATACGTCAGCATGCCTAATGCTAGGTTCTTTAGAAGTTTGTCCACACATCAACTCAAATGTATATAAATTCCTACCCAAACCAAGTAATTTATCATTCTTCTTCTTCTTTGTTATGTTCATCACACAGTACATGAGCGTTAACATCGTAAAATATGCGTCAAAAACTTTTTGTAGGAGCTTGCTGGTCATTCGTCACGTGTGCAGTGGTTAACATCGTAAAATATGCGTCAAAAACTTTTTGTAGGAGCTTGCTGGTCATTCGTCACGTGTGCAGTGGTAGAAGCTATAAACAAGATCAAGAATACTTTTTGTAGGAGCTTGCTGGTCATTCGTCACGTGTGCAGTGGTAGAAGCTATAAACAAGATCAAGAATGGTGAACTCTACAGACTATCAGTGCAACAACTTCTAGATTGTGACAAACGTAATCTGGGGTGCAGGGGAGGTTGGATGACAGAGGCATACAAGTACATCATCAATAATAAAGGCCTCACAAGCGAAAGTAATTATCCATACATTGGACAGCAACGGCGATATTGTTTAAATGAGAAGGCCAAAGGCATCGTGGCTACAATTACTGGTTACTCAACAGTACCTAAAAACGAGAAAGCGCTAGCCAAGGCAGTGGCACAACAGCCTGTTGCCGCCGCCATTTATAGTAAGGCGAGGGAGTTTCATCTTTACAAGTCGGGAGTATATGAAGGACCATGTCAAACTAGCATCGACCACGCTGTTACTATTGTTGGTTATGGAGAGACCGATGACAAGACTAAGTATTGGCTAGTGAAGAACACTTGGGGTACTTCTTGGGGTGAGAAAGGGTACTTCAGAATGAAAAAGGATGTCGCTTCAAGTAGAGGAACTTGTAACATTGCTACGTACGCAAGTTACCCAACCCTGGAGACCTGATGAGTGAGGTCTTATTATTGTATGGTGCGATGAGCATGGTTATGTGGTTACAGACAGACTACTTGATTATATCTGTCTAAATAAGAATAATGGACTATGTGTATTGAGCTTATCTTAAATAAATTTGCTCTATCTAAAATAAATTTTCACTATAACGTTTTCCACTATTTAGATTTTTTTCGCTTAACTACTTCTTGTTCTATGGAACGAGTTTCTGTTTTTCAAATGCGGGAATAAATGTGGCATTCTAATTGTACCCCAGTGCCAATTAGAAGACCCATGAGTAACCCAAAGGCAACCAAACTTAATATGTGGACAAAGCAAATCATGGAGATTGATGACCCAATAATTACAGGGCCATAAACCCTAGGAGCGATGATCTGCTAAATTGGAGGTGCGTGATAAATAGAAAATGATAAGTTATCGAGCTATGAATTACGAAGTGCAAAACTCTCGAATCACAACCGCACCACAATAGTTGCACTTGCATAAGATAACAAAGGCATAAAAGTTAGCTTAATTTTTAGTTACTATAAAGAAGTATGATTTTCTCTAATAAGAAGATTACAAATCAGAGGAGCTTTTGACGCAAACATCTCAATTATTAGGCTCTCTATCCATTCCTTCCCTTCAATCGGCCCAACCGTAAATATTGATGTATGTTGTCCCTTTCCGCACCATATTCTTTATTTCTTAATAAAGTAAGAGAGAGAGAATCTTGGGTAAATTTTCCTTGAGTTGAATATTGAGTGTACACATATATTTATACAAGTAGAGGAGAGTGAGGTGTGTTCTCACAACCAATGTGAGACTAAAACCCACTACAATATATTATTATCAACAGCCCCCTTCAAACTCATGTTGGATCAAACAAAGTAAGTTTGCGTACAAGAAACTAGAACTGATGAACATGTAAGGCCTTTGTGAAGAAATCTGCAAGCTCGTCAGTGGATGAGACATGAGGAAGTAGAATTATCGTGTCCTTGATAACTTGTTGACGGAAAAAATGAGTGTCGATCTTAATATATTTGTCCATTTCCTTAAATATTGGATTATTAACAATATGGAAGATACTCTTATTATCACAGTATAGAGAAGTAGGAGTCACCATGAGGCGTCTCAACTCCCTATAAGTCGGTATCCCCAATAGATATGGGCTCCTCCGTCTTTGTCCTCTTGTCGCCTTGGTCTACCCGCAACACCCTCTTGGCATGTCTCTTCCGGGCATTTTTGGACGACTCTGTTTTGGTGGAAAGTCGATTTTATTGAAGAATCCATTAGAACTTCGAACGTTACAATAAATTCAAGAAATTAGCCTTTTTATAAGACTTTCAATCAACAATTATAACTTTCTTTCAAACTACACACAATAGTAGTTCTAACTCTTATTGCTTATGTGAGATCGTTGCCGGTGCCGGGGTTTATCCGTGGACCGCCTACAGATCAGATCTGATTAGCAGAAGAATTAATCAGAGATCCTACTTCATAAAGGAAGTATTCACTGAAGTACTGAGATCGACCAAGAGAAATTAGTACTCTTCTCGAGATTAAGACCAAGCCTAATCTCAAGGAACGGGGGTATGGGGCTTCAGATCCTTCGAAAGACTACTTCTTTTTGCTGAAGTTCGTCGGGATCTAGTTTGCCTTCTTTGAAATTTCGTGCTCCTTGACTCCTCAATCCAGCAACACCTCGTCCTCTTGATAAAATTCCAGATCTGTAGAATGGAGGCATTGGGCTCATATTTATAGGGCCTCGAATGCGGGTATTTGGATGAGATGAGAGATTTGGCCTTATCTTTAGTTAATGACAGCCTATCCACGTATAGAAATGATATCAAATCAGTTGGGAACCCCTGGAACAGATAAATCCTGTGAAAACCACTTAAATAACCGTCGAAAACGCGTTTGGAGCTCGGAGTTGCGTGACGAACACTGGTGACCCACGTGGGCGTAGGTCACCCATGGGTGGCCCGCGTGAGCGCGGGTCACCAAGGGGTGACCCGCATGACCGCGGGTCACCTCTTGGTGATCCCCGTGTGCATGGGTCACCAAGTGGCGACCTGCTCCTCCACATGGGTTCCGAGTCACTCCCTCTCTCTCTCTTTACTTTTTGGTGTTTCCCGACTTTTCCTGGCTTGTATTTTCACCGTTCTGCGTATTTTGTTGTCTCGTTGAGTTGTACATTTTGCTGAGGGACTGACCAATGAACGCGTCGGTCACTTGGGGGTGTGTGTTAAATAGAAATGATAAGTTATCGATGTGGCATTCTAATTGTACCCCGGTGCTAATTAGAAGACACATGAGTAACCCAAAGGCAACCAAACTTAATATGAGGACAAAGCAAATCATGGAGATTGATGACCCAATAATTACATGGCCATAAACCCCAGGAGCGGAGATCTGCCAAATTGGAGGTGTGTGATAAATAGAAAATGATAAGTTATCGAGCTATGAATTAGGAATTGTAAAACTCTCAAATCACAACCACACCACCATAGTTGCACTTGCATAGGATAACAAAGGAATAAAAGTTAGCTTAATTTTTAGTTACCATAAAGAAGTACAATTTTCTCTAATAAGAAGATTACAAATCAGAGGAGCTTTTGATGCAAACATCTCAATTATTGGGCTCTCTATTCATTCATTCCCCTTCAATCGGCCCAATCGTAAATATTGATGTACGTTGTCCCCATCCACATCATATTATTTATTTCTTCTTAAAGTAAGAGAGAGGAAGAGAATCTTGGGTAAATTTTCCTTGAGTTGAATATTGAGTGTACACATATATTTATACAAGTAGAGGATGGTGAGGTGTGTTCTCACAACCAATGTGAGACTAAAACCCACTACAATACATTATTATCAACAACCCCCTTCAAACTCATATTGGATCAAACAAAGTGAGTTTGTGTACAAGAAACTGGAACTAATGAACAAGTAAGGCCTTTGTGAAGAGATCTGCAAGCTCGTCAGTAGATGAGACATGAGGAAGTAGAATTATCTTGTCCTTGATAACTTATTGATGTACAAAATGAGCGTCAATCTTAATATGTTTGGCACTCTCATGAAATATTAGATTATTAACAATTTGGATGACACTCTTATTATCATAGTAGAGAGGAGTAGGAGTCGTAATAAAAATACCAAAATCACTGAGAAGACGACAAAGATGAATAATTTCTTTAGCTGTTGTCAACATTGCAAGATACTCTGCCTCGGTACTAGAAAGAACAATCATATCTTGTTTCTTACTCCGCCAGGAAATAAGAAAATCACCTAAAAATATACAATAACCTGTGGTAGATTTTTTGGTAGTGGAATCACTAGCCCAATCAGCATCAGAATATGCACAAAGTCCTAACTTAAATATAGCAGGAAATAAAAAAGAGCGGGTGCTAGTACCCCGGAGATATCGAAGAATCGATAATAAGATAGCATAGTGTACAGAAGTGGGGTACTAACAAATTGACTGAAAATATCAACAGCATGAGAGGTATCTGGTCGAGAGATGCACAGATAGACCAACTGGCGAACAAGATGTCGATATTGGGTAGGATCAGATAGAGGCTCACCATCAGTAGAGCGAAGTTTAACATTTTGTTGGAGTGGAGTATTGACAGTTGCATCGTCAGTTAGCTCAACTTGATCTAGAATACCCAAGAGATACTTCTGTTGAGACAGTAGTATACCACGCAGGTCTTGAGAAATTTCTAGACCAAGAAAATACCAAAGAGATCAAAGATCCTTCATGTAGAACTATTGTTGCAACTGAGATTTTACGTATTGTATATCAGCCACATCATCACATGTAATGATCATATCATCTACATAGATGAGTAATAAAACTCTGTCACGCGATGTAGTGCGAACAAACAGAAAAACATCTTTATGACTTTCCATAAAGTCCGCATTGAGCACGACATCACGAAAACGCTCAAACCAAGCACGAGGTGCCTGCTTGAAACCATAAACAGCACAGCGAAGGGGACATACATGTCTTGGAGGAATATTGGACCGTGGACGTGGTGGCATATATATTGTCTCAAATAAAGAGCCATGAAGAAAAGTATTTTTGACATCCATCTAGTATAAGGCCAGTGATGAGCAGCAGCAGTCGCAAGTAAAGTACGAATGATGGGCATCTGAGTAACAGGAACAAATGTCTCCTCATAACTAATACCTTATTGCTGAGTAAAATTTTGAGCAACTAAACGAGCTTTCCGAAGTTCAATGATGCCATTAGGATGAAACTTGACCTTATAAACTCATTTACTACCAACAAGAGAGATCCCAGGAGGACAGGGAACAACATCCCAGGTATGAGTTTGCTAAAAGGCTTGAAATTCCTCAGCCATAGTCTGTCACCACTCTGAAATTTGAACTGCCTATTGAAAG